AGTGATTCACAGCAGAATATTGTCTGATGGTGTCCAAGATGTGAAGTTTGTACAGGATAGGGCAGTATTTTGTTATGCAGTACATACGTTGCCTTGAGGCTGAGCTGCCTCTGCCATAACCCCAGCCTGTTTTGTTTCTAAGTTCCCAGTTTTTCATCTACAGCCTTCCGGGTAGCAGGTATCTTAGTTCTCTAGTGCTGCAACAATAGAAATGCCACAGTTGAGTGGCTTTGGCTAACAGAAGTTTATTGTCTGACAGTTGAGGAGGCTGGAAGGCCAGTTTCTGCTGACAGCTTCAGGGGCTCCAGAGGAGGGCTCTTGTCTCCTCTGTTCTCCCAGTCTTCCTGTAGTGTGCTATCTACCTTTCTCCTTCTCTGTCACTGCTTTTCCTCTTGCTTATTCAGTCTGTTTTGATAGAAAAAAGGAATGACTTAAGACATTTCTTACACTGATCTTATCAATAGAAATACAAGCCATTCCCAAATAAGCGACTCTGGTGACCTAGTGGTAAGGAGCTGCACTGAAATCCCAAAGGCACACGACTCAAACCTGCCTGGAGGGAAAAAGATGGACAATCTCCTCCCATTTGATTAAACTGCCCCTGAAAACCAGCTGGAGGGTCAGCTATGGGTTGGTTCAGACTTGATGGTACATGATGACACCATGAACACTCCCAACTGGGATTATAACCACAGGATTATTGTTGTTAAGTGCTCTTCTGCCTGTTCTGACACATATTGACCAAAACACTGCCCAGTCCTGCACCATCCACACAGTCGTGAGAACCTTATTGCAGCCACTGTGTCAGTCCATCTTGTTGAAGATCTTCTCTTTTCTGCTCTCTACCTTATCAAACATGATGGTCACCTCCAGGAACTGGCCCCTTCTGATAACGTGTCCAAAGTACTTGAGACAAAATCTTCCCATCCTCACTTATTAAGAGCATTCTGGTTGTACTTCCTCCAACACAGGTTTCTTCTTCTGATGGGCCATCATATATTTAATACTCTTGACCAGTAACATATTTTAAATGCCTCACTTCTTCTCCAGCTTTCCCTATTCATTGTCCAACCTCTGCATGCGTGGGAGGCAATTGAAAATGCCCTGGCTCAGAACAGGTGCACATTAGTCCTCAAAGTGACATCTTTACTTTTTAACCCTTTAAGGTTTTTTTTGCCTCCCTATTTTCCTACTGCAGGACACCATTTGAGCTCTTGATTCAGGTCCCTGAAGGCTTTCATCGTGGATCCAGATAAAATGAAATCCTTGACAACTTCAGTCTTTTCGTTATTTCTCATGATGTTTCTTACTTAAGTTGTGAGGATTTTCGTTTTCTTCATGTTGAAGTATAATCCATACTAAAGACTGTAGTCTTTTATCTTCATCCATTAGTGCTTTAAGTCCTCAAGCAAGAGTGTGTCATCTGCATATCCTGGATTGTTAAATGAGTCTTCCTCCAGTCACGAGGCATGCAGAGTAAGTGTAGTAAAATGATGCACACCCTTCCTGATTGTTAATCATACCGTATTATCTGTTTAAACAACTAAGTGTTCTGGAATTCTTATTCTTTGCAGTTGTGTAAAGAGGAAAGGCAGCATGGGGATGGCTGAGGCTGACCTCTGCTCCACAAGGAGGAACTGCGCTGATCAACAATATCCACAGACGTGTCCCACCCATGCTCTTTCAACTAATTTCAGTACCATTCCTACTGTTCTCCTGGGTCTGAAATCTGTTGCAGTAGCTCAAAGACCAAACAGAACCATGTAGTTTTGAGGTTTATTAGAGAAGTTAACAGGTTACAATTCAGGTTGGCAACAGGATGCAATTTCTTAGTCAGGACAGCTTCTAAAGTATGCTAACATACCCTTCAGGCCTCAGGTTTGCAGCATTGGGAAATGCTACAAAGCCTCTTAGTTCTGTCAATTATGGCACGTTCTTCCCTCACTCTTAGTCCTCCAGCAACCTAGGGTGAAGGCCCCAGGTCTAGCTCTGTGGGACAGCAGTCCCAGGTCAGCTCTGTCTCACGTCAGATATCTGTGCTGCAGCTACTGGTGTTTGTGTAGGTCCAGGTTTGACTGGTGCAAGAATCCCAGGCCCCAAAGGATACACACTGCACTTTCTTGTTTCTTCATTCTTGTTGGTAGAGAGGTTGCCAAGTTTTTGCTACTGAACCTGCTTGATTTAAATGTGATGGGATGAATTCCCTTGTGGATAGACTAACACATCCTGTTTTCATGTTCTTACCCAGCCATATGGCAACATCAAGCGAAATGGCTAGGAAAGCCATTTTTGAACACCAGCAAAGTTTCCTTAATTTGTTATGATCCACACAGCTGAATGCCTTTTCTTTCTTTTTTTTTTAAATTAAATTTTATTAATTTTAATGAACATTTACAGAGATTGTGGGTTTCCATTCATTCATTGTTGCACTATTTTCACTACCCTCCTCCCCAGTTCATTCCTCTTTTTCCTTCCCCCTTGAAAATCTGTTTTAATTGTCCAATTGCCATAGTGCTTGTCAAAGCCAGTTCTGATTAATCTCCTTTGTCAGTGTGTCCTTTGCCATTCCCTATCACTCCTCCCCGAGAGAGACGTCACCGACGTCACCCTGATTCATAAGGAAAAGGGGATGGCGTATTCTCTTAGTTACTTCCTGCTGAAAAGGGATGCTGTAGGTTTCAGGGTGAAGATCTTCTCTCACTACTCTAAAGGGCCCCTTTGGCAATAGGAAACACGTAGACTATTGTGGAGATTGATTTTGGAATTTAGATTCACTGTTATCAATTGTGCTTAGCCGTACATGTTCATATGAACTGTTGCAGCCTAGAAGACACAAATCTAGCTAACAAGTTAAAAGTACATGAGTCAAAAATTAAAAAGCAATAATATTCCAAGTAGAGGTTCTAATAGTGGCACAAATCAAGTTACAGAGGGAAGGTAGATCTTAAAATATAAGGCCTGTGACTAGCACTTTTTCTATTATACTATAAAGGTTAGGAACCACAAAATGTAGAGGCTCACCTATGTCATTTATTGTTCTTAAGTCCTAGACCAAATTCCGTCTACCACTGGGTTGTTTTACAGCTCAGAAGTCTGCATGCAAGGCAGAGGTGAAGTAAGAAACTGCTTATGAGGTTTTCCATCAGTTCCAACAACTAAGAAATAGTGAGAAGATTTGGGACCTCAGAAGGCTTTTAGGACCAAATAGTAGGCTCTTGTGTCCAGGAGAAAATGAATATTCTTACCACTAATGTTAATCCTCACCCACAGTTCTTCTGGGAGGATCTAAATCGTTGAAGTGTCCTCCTTTGTTTCCAGCTGAGAGCTGGGGCCTGTCAGTCCTGTCAGCCACGAGGACATGATGTAGGCCACCCTTGGCCAGGTGTCCTTCAGATCCACACTTAAAGCAAGTGTGGGAGCTTCCTCTCTACTCCCTTGCCTATCTGTGGTTCTCGTCTGTCACACTGTGACAGACCCTCTATGAGGTGGATTGATTCAGTGACTGGGGTGATCGGGATGGGTGTGTCGGAGGCAGTGCGATTGGCACAGGATAGAGCAGGGTTTAGGGCTGTTGTACATAGGGTCGCTATGAGTCGCAAACGACTCGACGGCACATAACAACAAACAACAACAACATGCCTCCTTTGAAGAAATCTTTGCCAAATCCAAGGTCATGAACATTTATCTCTTCCATAAGTTTTTTTCTTAAATTCAGTTCTAGAATGTGTTTTTTTACTTCCTTGTTGCACATTTTCTTCCCCCTCACCCCCACATTTAATTAGTTTTGTATGCGCATTCTTTATAGATATCATGTGCACTATGTAATCTGTTTTGATCCCGTGGTGCTTGAAAAATTTGTCTTTGAATTCCTTTAATGCTTCTGCATTATTGTTAAGATACTCACTGGTCTTTTTGGGGTTTCTTTTCTTGGGGTGTCTGCAGGTACTTTTAGGCGAGAGACCCCATCTCTTTTCATTTGTACGTCTATAGAACCCAGCCTAGAACTTGGTGCCTGGTTGGCTCAATTTTGATTAAATTAAATCACAAACCTTATTTAACAAATATCTCAACCTTCCTTCTTCCATTCTTTACCAGAACCTCTAAGTCGCTACTTTGCCATTTTGGGTTTTGCACATTTTCTCCACCCCGCATACATTTCCCCATCACTCACTCATTCATTCAGAGCTTCAAACAAGAAAGATTAGTTTTGTCTGTATTGTAGTAGTTGTAAGGAGAGGCTTGAAGTCTAGATGAATTGAAAAGTCACCTGTGGATACATTGGCTCGTCCATGCATTGGCTACCTCTGTTACCTGATATAAGCACTTGGGAAAGAAGAAGAGTTGGGGTGGTTTTTTGTTGTTGTTGTTGCTTTACTCACATGTTGCTTCCACCTCTTCTCAATTAATGTAGATGGTCATAGGCTGGGCAAACAATGGAAAATGATATTGGTGCCTAGGAGTTCATGTGTTGAGAGTGCAGTATAGGCAGTCTGTGACACTGTTCAGCTAGCTGAGTTCTCCGATAAGCTGTCTCTGCACACATTGTTGCTGAGAGATGAGCAGCATTCCCTTGTGGTGAGAATGATTATCATCAACATTTTACTGAAAACATTTTTCCCAGAAAGGTAGTATCACTCTGTTAGTATTGACAAAGGAGGGGGACCACAAGCCAAACTTAGGAAGATGGTGCTGGGTTACTCTGGGTGACACAAACATTGCTCGCTGTCATTGTGTGATTTCCCCTCTGAACCCCCTACTGGCCCAGAGACCTGTAGGTCACCCTGCTGGGGCCTGACCACGAGTAGCACTTGGTGGTTTCTATGCTGCAGCCCTCTGGTTAACCATAATTGGGTTGCTGTGTGTGGCACTGGTACTTTGAGTCTTCAGAGAGGGGAAATCCCTATACTGTGACTTCACTGACCTTCATCGATGCTGAATCTCCAACTTCACCAACCATCCATTTCATGTCTAAGTTGCTCGTTCTCTTCTCTTTCTTTCAGTGGAGGCCATAGTAGAGTTTGACTACCAGGCCCAGCACGACGATGAGCTGACCATCAGCGTGGGTGAGATCATCACCAACATCAGGAAGGAGGATGGAGGCTGGTGGGAGGGACAGATCAATGGCAGGAGAGGTTTGTTCCCTGACAACTTTGTAAGAGTGAGTACAACGCGAAACCCTTTTTATGTGTCCTGTGTGGGGTCTGCTGTAGAAAGGTCATGGGTCGCTGGAGGACAGGGTTCCTGGGACTCTCTCTGGGGATACATATTTAGCTTGACCCCCTGTGTTATCTCAAGAAGAGCATCTATAGCTCTGCCCTTTGTTTAACTGTTTAGAAATCAATCTTTTAAGGTCTAGAATGGTATCTGTCCAAACTGTATCACTTTTTAAAAATTCCACAAAGATACAAAGCTTGTTAAAGTGTCTTATTTATGTACTTACTTATTTGCTTTATAGTTTAAAAGCATGTTGTCCCTTTAGAGTATTCTTGTTAATATGTTACATTGCTACATTAGTAAATAATGTTTTATTGAGTGAAAAGGGGTCATCTGGGAGGCTGTTCTGCATAGGAAATACCAAATAAGTGTTAAGTCCTTGTACTGTAAACTTCCTTTCTGTCACTAGAGAAAAAGGATTGTTTTCAATGGTGAGAGTTACATTTGCAGGAATTCCTGTACCCCTGATGTCACTTCTGTGGTGCCAGGCCAGGCTTAACAGGACTGTGGCTGAGGGTGGCAGATAAAGTGAGGAAGGCTAGACTGAGAAAAAGCAGATAAACACACAAACAGAATGGACTTGGGCCCAGAGTGACCCCATATTTGCAGAGTAGAGGTCCATAGGGTTTTCAGCCTTTTGGAAGCAGATCACTAGGTCTGAGTGAGTTTGAACCACCAACTTTTTTGCTGCAACTGAGACATTTACCCATTTACTACTGAGAGGAGCAGGTAGGGCCCCCCCCCCAAGAGCCCTGAGTGCTGAGGTTTTATGAAAAGTGGTTCTTGGTGGAAAAGTTGATCGAGTCTATATGTCGAACACCCTGGGCATTGCACACTGTGGTCCTGACCTTCTCCTTTTCCCTAGCTGAGAACCTGGGGTGGGGGTGAATGACTCACTGTTAGTCTTTCTTCAGGATCCTGCCTCAGGGCCTTCCTGCTAACTAGTCTCTCCTTCTCAGTCATTCAATCAATCTTCCAATCTCTCTCCTCCTCCCTCCCTTTCTCTCCTTTCACCCTTTATTTCCTCATTCCTTTCCCATCTCCCCTCCCTTTGTCTCTGTCTTCCTTCTTCTCTTTTCTCTCTTTCCTGTGTTGAAGGCTGGAGAGAGTTTTGTTGGCAACACGCTGATAAACATTGCTTTGTGTCAGTAGTAATAGTAGCCTTAAACTCTCTTTTTCTTGGACTACATGTTTATCTAACCCCGCTAGCCTAGTGGTAAGTTGTGCTGCCAACCGAGCTGGTCTGTGGGAGAAAGATGGACACTCTCTTTCCATGTGATTTACGGCTTGTGATAACCTGCTGACTGGTCAGCTGTGGGTCGGTTCCCGACTTGACAGCACACAGCACCTGGTGGTGCAATAGTTAAGCAGTCACTTGCTACCAGAAAACAATTTGAGTCTACTCACTGGCTCCATGAGAGGAGGACCTGGCACTTTGTTCCCATGAACATTATAATCTAGAAAACCCTTGGAAGCCAATTCGACTCTGTCATAAAGGGTCACTATGAGTTAGAAATGGACTTCAACAGCACCAAACAAGAGTCGGACCTGACAGCACTTTCCCATTTTAAGAGTAGGAAAGTATTGCACCTAGTCCATGGAAGTAGACTTGATAAAACAAAAAAATTATTTTGTTTTCCCAAATAAAAAACCTTTGTTTTGAGAAAACACTATCCTTGAAGTTAAACCAGATGGAGGTATGGAAGGAGGGTGTTTTCAGATGAAAGGGCATCAGTGGACATGAAGAAAAGATAGAGAGAAGAGGAAAGTAGGGGAAAGAGAGGGATCGTTAGGAAAAGGTGTAACTTTAAGGTAAGGCCAGCTGTGCTTTGAAAGCCTTTGTCATGTCTTCTTCACAAACAACTAAGACACAGAATCAGAACACTTCAGAGTTGGGAGTTGCTTATCAAACATGCTAAATGTACTCAGCGTTTTAAGGCTAATAGGTGTAGTAGCCAGAGTGCCAAAAGCATTTGTGGAAGGGACAGGGAAACCGGGGCAGGAACAGCAGGATAGGACAGATTCACCCAGGCTGTGGGACCCCACCTGTCCCCACTGAGTGCCAGGGAATGGAGGACTTCTTCATCTATGCAATGAGAAGAAGACGGTCCCATTGCCTCACTCTTCTTCATCTGCTTTCCCATGGGCTTTGGTACAAGTGGAGCCCTGCTTGGATGTGACCCCGAGGGTGCGAAGGCAGCGAGGGAGGTTGGGGGTTACCTGTGCCTGTGAGGGTGCCATGCACTGGCTAGGTCCTTCTTGATGGTCACTGCTTCCGTGATGTCCACCTTCCTCCATATCTTTCCTCACCTCTACAGGTATGAGGACTCTCTTATGTCTAGCCCTGAATGCTGATTTGGGGTTTTGTTATACTCTACCCATTTTGGAAAAGATTCTTAAGAACCTGTACCTCAAATTATGCTAATCTGGACCATCTGCTTGCTTTTGAAAGCCTGACCTCCCCAAGAGGCCGTTATGGAAGTAAAGGAGACAGTGTGTGGACATCACTTAGCACAGTGGCCCACCACTACTGATTGTGCCACTGTCCTCGCTGGCAGAGAATGGATGGAGCCCTTGCCTTGGGCTCGGAGTACCTGGGTCTTGCCTACTCAGTGGACATCTCAGCTCAGCTTGAGCACTTCCAGTGAGGGCCAGCAATGTTCCTGTTTCACCTGGGGCGGAGAGAGAAGGTGGCAGGCACATTGCCACTGCACTGCTTGTGGCTGTAGCATTTGGCAGAAAAAGAAACTTCTATTCTTTCATATGGCTGAGTCTATTTTCAAATCTTCACCCACTGGGAATGTTTTAGGCCTATTATTGAAAATTCAGTAGGAGGATGCAGCAGAGTTTAACCATAACGAAAACTCCCGTAGTGAATTCTAACAGTAGAAAATACTTTTTTTAAGTAATCATCGTTCTGTTGGCATAAGTTTTCACTTTTGAAAGTGAAAGACATGTGTCTTATTTAGTTCCAGAGTTATTTGGACCCACAAATTAAACCAGACGAACTTGTGGAATTCTGTTGTTTTATTCTGTGACTCTGTTTAGATGATACCATTGTCAGAGAGCCTACCTTAAGCAATGTCTTGACTCACTTTTGAGAATTGTTAATATGTGATCCACCAAGGGGCAGGTCTTCATTTAATTCTGTATTGCCTCAGCCTCTCAAGAGAAAAATATCAGTGAGAGCCATTATTCCCGTACTCAACCAGGCTGTCTCATGCTCTCAGGTTAAAATAAATGTACCCACCTTGGCTTCATGGCCTCTTGAGTTTGTATCTCTCTTTTAATTTGAGTTGTTATTGTTGTTGTTATGTGCTGTCCTGTGGGCCCTGATGCATAGCTGACCAGGCAGCCAGGGTTTTTTTCCTTTTTGTTTTTTATTTTATATTGGTTTGCTCTCAGAGTTTGTATACATTGTGTGTATTTCATACAATCATTCCTATGTATTATGTGTGGGTTTTTTTTTAAAGAAAACCTTTTTTTTTGCATTATGTTTTATGAAATCAATCACCATTGGACCTTGCCCATCATTACCCTGCCTTTCAGGTCCCTGCAAGATCCTTCCCATTTCCTTCACCCCCCTCCCTCCACCTACCAAACTGTGCAGCCCTGTGGTTTCACCTCCACTCATCCTCACCTCTCTGCTCCCACCCTTTCCCCCCTTGGGTCCTTATATATTTTTTACTAGTTATCCTTCTATTTTTACAATAATGGTCTTTATTATGCAGTATATGCCCTTTTTGTTTTTTTGTGAGTTTTTTTTTTATTGTTGGTGGGTACTGTCAAATCAGATCCAATTGGCACAGGTGGAGATTGCCCCTCCTTCTCCAGCAAAACATCTGGTGGATTTGAACCACATGCCTTCAGGTTTGCAGCACAGCTTCTTGCCAGTAGGCTACCAGAGCTCTCTTAGTATTTGTCCTTATGAGATTGAGTTAGTTCACTTGGTATAATACTCTCCAGTCTCTCCATAGTTAATGTAGTATTTTTTAAAAAATCATTGCTCCAGAGTACTCCATAGTATTTCATTGTGTGAATGTATCACAGTTTCTCAATTCATCCGGTTGTAGATGGACATTTGCCAGCCATATTTTAGAGGCTATAAATCGCATGGGAAGACAGTGCCCATCTTTTTCCCATGAAGTAACTGGCTATTTCAAACTTCCTTGACCTCTAGGCCACAGAGCTTCATTTATTTGGTTAGTTCTTATTTATTTATTGTAAATGGGGGGAAGAGGTTTTTTAATTGCTTCTTCTTACTCCTTCTCCTCACCTACTCTCTTGGGGTACAATCCTCTTTATTCCTCTCTTTTTTTATCAGTTAATTTTTTAAAAGATAGATCTATCAACAATCTGCGTTGCGCAGGTGACACAACCCTGCTTACTGAAACTGGGGAGGACCTGAAGCGCTTGCTGCAGACGGTCAAGGACTGCAGCCTCCAATATGGATTGAGGCTCAATATTAAGAAGACAAAGTTTCTCACCATTGGGCCAATTGGCAGCATCAGGATGGATGGTGAAGAGATTGAGATTGTTCACAGCTTTAGTTTGCTTGGCTCCATAGTCAACACTCTAGGCACCAGCAGCCAGGAAATAAAAAAACGTATTGTGATAGGAAAGTCTGCTGTTAGGGTCCTCTCCAGGGTACTGAAGAGCAATGGTGTCTCTCTGGAGAGTAAGATGCATCTGATACAGGCCATGGTCTTTGCTATCACTTGTTATGCATTAGAGAGTTGGACAATGACCAAGGAGGATAGAAGGAGAATTGATGCCTTTGAGCTGTGGTGCTGGAGAAGAGTATTGAGGGTACCATGGACTGCTAATAAAACAGATTCATCCTGGAAAGGGTCAAACCATGCGGCTCCTTGGAGGCAAGGATTCTGAGGCTTCGTCTGATATACTTCGGTCATGTTGTAAGGAGAGACCAGTCCTTGGAGAGGG